AGGCTATTTCAACCATTATTTTACAGTGTGAGGGAGACGATTRGYCGGATCACTTCCAGAAGTGATAATGTTACCCTGAAAAAAAAATTCCATCAATACTTTTTGGAAAGAGAAAACTCGAAGTCACCAAGCTTCATTCAATTTCGACAAAATGATACATAGTGTGGTCCAAGATCAATCATTACTTACATTAGTTGCTTTTCCTATTGATAGTTCATTCTTCGCACTTTCGTGCCATCACTACTGACCTTTACAAGGAATATTATATATCATGAATACACCATAGTTCAGAATGTGTGGATTTTATAATARAAAATAGTTTGGTGGACACAATAGTCCATTTTAGAAAATAACAGTGAAACATGTTTCAGAGATGCAAAACACTAAACGCATAGAAAAGTTAAMGAATCAAAATGTTGGATTGCGGATACTAAAACCATGAAGGTTTTTTAGTTTTTGCTAAATTCTGCTGATGATGCAAATGACTTTGTTTTCTATTCACTAAATTGGCCAGTATTTGATAAGTGCTTTTTCATGCTTTAAATGTTTGCACTATCTAACAATAGAGCTATTTAGCAATAGTAGAMACACTTTTAAAATCCGTGAAACTATGAAAATTAGGGGGGTGGGTTCCAATAGTATCTATTCCCTTGACCCATTTGTGAAATTCCGTACGCTATACAAGACAAATTGGTTTAAGAGACCCAACCCAACAAGAGGTAAACCAGATAGTGTTCCAGTAAAATAGAAATGAAGGAACATTGTATAAGTCGATATTTAAGATGCGTGGGCCAAAAACCATATCCTATTTGGCGGAACGTCTTCGTATAGTTAANTGCACGGGATCTCAAAAAACCAGTATGATGACTATATAAAATACTGAATTTCTCAACAATTCGTCAGTAGAACGTTAATAAACTAACGGAATTCTAGACTTAAGATGTGTATCTAAAATAATCTTATAAAGTTTTTGGATATATTATGACGGAACATTTCAAAAAATTCAGCCAATTAGCGCGCATTTTGGCCAAAGCCATGCACGGGATCTCAAAAAACCAGTATGATGACTATATAAAATACTGAATTTCTCAACAATTCGTCAGTAGAACGTTAATAAACTAACGGAATTCTAGACTTAAGATGTATATCTAAAAGGTTCTTATAAAGGTTTTGGATATATTATGACGGAACATTTCAAAAAATTCAGCCAATTAGCGCGCATTTTGGCCAAAGCCATGCAAGAGATCTCAAAAAACAAATATGATGACTGTATAAAATACTGAATTTCTCAACACTTCGTCAGTAAAACGTTAATAAGATAACGGAATTCTAGTGAGGATTCAAATGAGGATTGTATAAAATAGCAAATACTATCACTGAAATCACTGAAAAAAAGAAATTAAACATGGTCAAATATTCCATCTACCTATGACTAAGGCTTTTTTCAAGCACTCGAAGGTGTCAGTTTTAGTTTGTTCGCTCTGAAAAACGAATTCTTTCTAGTTTTCTGCGTTTTGAGTTTGAGGTTTTCCTCCTAAAAAAAAAAAAAAAAAAAAAACTTTACAAAAAAAGTTCATTCTCAAATGCTCGAGATGAAAATCGTGTAAAGTTTTAAGCAGCGTTGTTTTTTTCCATGACGTGGACCTACTATCTCACCAAAATGAGTTGAGTCAAAGAAACAGCATGACTTATTTAAAAGTCTATGATATTGTTCGCATAAGTTATAGGGAGTTAAGCTTATAACTTATGCAGAACCGATTTTTAGGCAAATTCTGGTTGACTTTTTATCATCATATAGTAAAAATAACAATGTATTTTTCTTGTGTATTATTTTGCAAACCGCAACCATGAATATTCAGCAAGTCCTTGGTGATTGTTGTCATGAAATGATTGAATATTAACAAGAAAAATCATTTCTTAACTTAATGTTGATTTTAAAATAAAACAGGAAATATACACTTCTCTTGTAATATTCATGCTTCAAGGATTGAGATTACTTTTAACAAAAAAAAAAAGAAAACTGGTAGCCTACAAATTTGATTCATCACTACATGTTAAAACATGTTGATCATCCTACTAGGAATCAAAACACAATACCGTATGGAAACTTTACCCAGGGCTAGGCATCATGAATGGTCACCCAGCTTTGTAAATAACCATATAAGAAGCTAAAGCATTCTCATTTGATGGCTTTCAGTAGTTTCCTTGTCAATACTTGTCTTTATTGTGCTGTGGTCTTGAAAATAAACAATTTACAACACTGCCAACACAGTCCTCCCACTATGCACACTACAAAAAGCTGGACTCTCTAGTAGGTGGCCCTATCTCCATTTAAATAGGGCCTAAGTTATTTGTAAAGTAAGTTCAAGTGAAGTTGATATGTTGACATTTCAACAGAAATCAACAATACATGCTAAAAAGAACAGTCATGCAAAAGGTACAAAACGTTGTAAATAAACAAGGGAGACTTATTTTAAATTATATTACAACTGCCTTGATCAGTGTACAGGGTTCGCACAGATTTTTTTTATACAAAATTCAAAGACTTTTCAAGGAGTAATTTTAATTTTTCACGGACACCATGAATTACAAAGATAAAGATACAGTTAGTAAACTTTCTAAACCTGTGTCTTGACAAACAGCAACAATAAGAACATTGCAGTCAACTTTGTTGAAGTACTTTCTCTTTTGGAGAAGATTTTACTCAATCTCTGTGGCATAAAGGATTGAATTCTAGTCATTGTGCTTCAAAGTTTGGCTAAATTAATCCCTAAAACATTACTTTATGACAATCAAGACTAATTCAAGGACTTAAAGCATCATTTTCAAGGAGCTTTCCTTCAAATTCAAGGACTTTTCAAGGAAAATTTGCAATCGAAAGACTTTTCAAGGACCTAGCTCAAAAATCATGGCAAAAAATATACTGATTGACTTACTATCATTGCATGAAATGTTGCTGGGGAGTATGAATGGCAAAAATTACTAGTAATAAAACATCATTTTATTACAAACAAATCCAACAAAAAACTGGAATGATCTAAATCAAAGCAAAATTGAATTAATTACAATGCAAATACGTCCTGCATGATTCAGGGGTAGTCAGGAGCTGAAAGANGAGCTAAACTGTATGATTATTTGTCTAATCAATCTATTTACAAGAAATAAATCACTATTTGTCTCATGGAATATAGTCGTTGACAACAATATAAAATACATAACTCATGATATTCGTAATACCTCCAGGATTCTGCTTTTCTTTGCCGCCTGTAAGATTACGTTATTCTCTACCTTTAAGGCCTGAAAATTAATGATAAAAGAATTATGTCATTGAAATAATTAAGAGCAGAAAATGTCCATGCTTGTCTAGTAAACTACTAGTGTATTCTTGGGTTTCACATGACCACACCCCGGGGGATGGGGGTTTGGGGGTTTGGGGGGGGGGGGGAGAATTCCCCTATACTTGCTATTTGCTATACGGGTATGTGCCGCTCGATAGGGTCCCTTTTTCGGAGCTCCAAGTCTGGCATAGGGTATCATTTTTTTTCCATTTTTCTGGGTTAGGGTAGTAGTTTTGTCTGCGATAGGGTAGCTTTTTTCGTCTAGGAAGGGTATAGTSTCATTGTCTGGTGTACGGTGTAGTTTTGCCTGTGATCATATCTGCTAGGCCACGATTTCAGCGCTAAAATAATTTACCTTTGTAAACCAAACACCTGACATCTCTAAATAAATTGAAGAGTAAGGCATGCGCACTTCAAGAGTTCACATGTTCAATTTGTCTCGCAACGCCATTGCAACAATTCTCAATTTTCAAATTCAAAGCGAACAACCTCTGCTTTATTTGATAACAGATTCTATTGCGCAAAGACATTTAGGCTAACTAAAGAAAGCACGAGAAAATGTTCTTACAATAGCCTTGAAAGTTTGCATTTTTCCGGAGTTAACACTATATGAATAATAGTTTATTTGTACTCTCTTGCAGTTGGGAACTGAATTAAYACTGTAATAATTACAAATTCTAGTATAAATGATAAAATTGCTATTTACAAATTATTAAAACGATATAATTTATATGGCTATTAAATGTATCGGAATGTAAAAAAACTCTCCGTTCTCTTAGTTCTACATTGCGTCACAGAATTGTACAGGTAAGACTTTCGCAACTTCCTCCTTAGATTATAATTTGATTCGTTAGGTGCTGGTCTGGGTAGAAGATGATGTATAGTATGTTGTGKRGACTTCATTRGATTCATATACTTAGTGYATAAATAGTCTCTTCTAATTTCCAGTCGATCTAATTTAGCCAGTTGTCATGTATAGAAGACATTGGGCGTGTTGTGACCTTTCAGTTTTGAAAAGATCTTCCTCGAGTAAGCTCAGCAAAGATGTATAAAATTAACCAATCAAAATCGCTTTTCTATGGTCTGTGGCACCACAAGCGTAGCGAGATTTGTTTTTTACCGTAACAAAGGAAGCCGAAAACAAAGTAAATTTCATAACAAAACCGTTTCTKGCGCGCGCCGGCTCCGTGCGCGAGCAATTAGTCATTTCATCGGATCGACAACGGCTCTCGACCAATCAGCTCCCGAGAATTCTACAAGTTATGGTAAAAATACGTCGCACATTGTATGTATTCGTGAATTGCATTCGTCACATGTGAATTTTGGCATATAACGTGATCTTTGCATACCTTYAKCCTTGAAAAWGTTTGCAAATGGTTGATCTTGACCCCTGTAACATTGACGTTAAGGATATTAACAATTGACAACTCTAATYGCGAAAAGGTAAGGCCAGACAAACTAAAACCTGATATATATACATCGTTATATTTATAAGAATGTMAGAAATATNAGCATCATTTTCAAGGACCTTTCCTCCACATTCAAGGACTTTTCAAGAAAAATTTGCAATCAAAAGACTTTTCAAGGACCTAGGTCAAAAATCATGGCAAAAAATAGACTATCATTGCATGAAATGTGGCTGGGCAGTATGAATGGCAAAAATTAATAAAACATCATTTTATTACAAACAAATCCAACAAAAAACTGGAATGATCTAAATCAAAGCAAAATTGAATTAATTACAATGCAAATACGTCCTGCATGATTCAGGGGTAGTCAGGAGCTGAAAGAAAAAGGAAAACATTAGAAACAGCTGAGACAATAACAACATGTGCATTAAGTTAAAGAATTAAAATGACGAGAATCATGAACACACACATAGCCTCTCGATCTGGCCCTCTCCAGCCTCTCTCACAGGTGTAGACCACACATCGATTTAAAAATAATTTCAGATAATTCTGTGGTATCACAATGGATATTTGATTAAGTTTGTGATAATTTGGTTGATGTTATTCATTCCATAGATGATAGTTTCAAATCTAGAATAGGGGGAAACGTAAAAAAAAACTAAACATTTTTTTCCTTTCGAAAGTTTTCAAACGTTAAATCAGCTTACCTTCAGTGACTAAACGCCTTAACAATCCAGCCTTCAGCTCACAAAATCATTTTTATTGCCATAACCCTTCAAATAGACGACTTTTACCTTATTTGTGCTAGAATTTCTCCTTATAAAGCAAAAACTTAGCCTCTCCACCTCACCGCCGTCGGCCATGTTTGTCCGCCATATTGACACGGGATACAAATGCGGTGTTGGACACAGCGCGAAAGGGATCCTGGGTTAAAATTCAAAAATGGTTTCATTTGCCACTGACCTTTGAGCTGTGAGGAGCTCCGTCGGAGTTGTTTGAAAGGCAAAATAAAGGCGAAATATGAGAAAAACTTGAAATGTATCCTGAAAATAAGTAAAAACTGATAATAGAGCTCAGTAGTATTGCGAAAAAAGAAAGCTAGAACACTGAAATTTTATGAAAAGATCGGATTTTTCGAGCAATTGTGAGAAGTTCATTTTATTACGAGAAAGCACAAACATACCTTACGGCGGTCTCCGAAAAGACACTCATGTTTTGCAATTCCAAGCAACAATCCTTTGTTTAACATCATAAAATGTTGCAAAAATGCAAAAAAAGGATTGACTTTTTCAATCTTAAAACTGTCAATATTTCAAAAGTGAAGTTGAACTTGACTATGAGAGAGGTGACGCTCGCGTCAAAAGTTGTTCAAGGTCAAAATTTTGGCGGGAAACCTCGGGCGCAAGAAATTTAATTTGACTGTGTTTTTTGTTCAAATTCTTTATTATTATGCCTTGTACAGATGCTTTTATATTCTTTTAACTTACCACAAACATGGTACAAACACATATTGAAATATAACCCGTGATAAATATCGAAGAAATAAGTAAAATTGAGAGCATAATTTCTACGAAGAATCCGAAAATTCGCTAACTTTAGTTGCTTCAAAAGTGAATAAATACTGCTGCGCCATCGTGCGCCATGCAACCAGGACATTAAGAATTTATTTCTCGTTTTATATTGTAAATATCAAGACAATTGATTAAATATTTYTWTMACAACTATGAAAAACGTCTGGCAATGTCAAAATTGAAGACTTGTCGTTGTTTTGGTTGACACCAAAATTTTTAAAGCTATTTTTTCGCTATGAAGCGAGAATATATGCGGAAAATATTACAACATCCACAAAAGTATAAAATATTTTACCGATTTMTTGYGTTCTTTGTCAAACAGCGCTTCAAAATTCATCTAACAACGCATTTTTGTACACACATATCGAGTCCTGGGCCGTCGCCATCTCCGCTTTTGAGATTCCCGCCAAATTCGAAATGGCACAACATGATTGGTCAAAATTAAACCCCAGGATCCTTTTCGCGCTGTGTCCAACACCGCCTG